TCCTAAAATGATACACCCTAACCCCTGGTACTTGTGAATATGATCTTACTTGGAAATAGGGTCTTTGCAGACATAATTAAGATGAGGTCATTAGATGACCCTAATCCACAGACTGGTGTCCATATAAAAAGAAAAGAGACAGAGATACACAAAGAGAATGCATTGTGAAGATGGAGGCAGAGATTGGAATGATGCAACTAAAAGTCAAGGAATACCAATGACTGATGGCTGTCACCAGAAGTCAGGAGAAAGGCATGGAACAGACAGATTCTCTCTTGCAGTCCTCAGAAGGAACCAACCCTGTCAACAAACTTGATTTGGGGTTTCCAGGCTCCAAAACTGTGAGACAATACATTTTTGTTTTAAGCTACCAAGTAATTGGTATGTGGCACTTTGTTACAGTAGCCCTAAAAAACTAGTACACAGGAGAACCTCTGATCATGCATATCCCGACTTAATTACCTGTTTTAAAAAATATTATAAAAGTAAACAAAAGGACCTTACTTTCCTTGATTCAACCAGTATGAATTCCCTCATGGCGAATGAGGTCTGAGCGACTACCAAATGCCTTTCCACATTCCTTACAGTCAAAGGGTTTCTCACCAGTGTGAATTCTCTGATGTCTAGTAAGGTTTGAGCCTTTATTAAAGGCCTTCCCACATTCATTACATTCATATGGTTTTTCATCTGTATGGATTCTCTGATGTTGAATAAGTTCTGAGCTCTGAATAAAGGCCTTTCCACATTCTTTACATTCATAGAGTTTCTTGCCAGCATGAATTCTGTGATGGTTAGTAAGTGTTGAGGCACTACTAAAGGCCTTTCCACATTCCTTACATTCGTAAGGTTTCTCACCAGTATGCATTCTCTGATGCTGAATAAGCCTTGAGTGTTGAGTAAAGGCTTTCCTACATTCCTTACATTCATAAGGTTTCTCACCTGTGTGAATTCTCAGATGTGGAAAAAGTTGTGAACTTTTAGTAAAGGCTTTTCCACATACTTTACATTCATAGGGTTTCTCACCAGTGTGAATTCTTTGATGATCATTAAGGTTTGAGCAATAATTAAAGGCTTTTCCACATTCTTTACATTCATAGGGTTTCTCACCAGTGTGAATCCTCTGATGTTGAGAAAAATATGAACTACAACTAAAAGCCTTGCCGCACTCCTTACATTCATAGGGTTTTTCACCAGTGTGAATCCTCTGATGCCGAGTAACAAGTGAGCCACGACTAAAGGATTTTCCACACTCCTTACA